CCTTCTTGTGCGGCTGCTATATCCAATCGTAATCATTTTTTTCATCTTTTTCAAAAGAACAACTCTCTTGAGAACAAACGACTATTTATTATCGCAAGAAATCGATGTAAAAAGGTGCTTTCAGATGCTAAACTCCATTATTCTCAGTTCACTAAATCTCGCATCTTATCGCAGAAGTTAGGCTCTAAAGACTTTTGGAAAATCTTCAACAGCATTATTAACAAGGGTAGATTTAACATTCCATCTCTCATTAATGGGACTGATTTTATTACCTTTCCCAAGGATAAGGCAGAACTATTTGCAAAGAACTTTTCTTCTAATTCCACTCTTGAATCTTATGGACATTCTCTTCCTTCCATTCCAGTCAAACAGGTTGACCCATTGTTAGACATTCAAATCACTCCGGCTTCTGTTGCTAAAGTCATATCTCAATTAAACTCGTCTACAGCTTGTGGTCCAAACAACATTTCTGTTACAGTCTTGCAGAGCTGTTCTTCAGAACTTTCTTCAATTCTCTCTAAACTATTTAACAAGTGTTTGACGGAGTCTTGTTTTCCTGCTTGTTGGAAAATGGCATCTGTGGTTCCAATATTCAAAAACTCTGGAGAAAATTCTGACCCCTCCAATTATCGTCCGATCAGTCTTCTTTCTGTTATTAGCAAGGTCTTTGAGTCTTTGATCAATAAATTCCTCACATCTCATCTTGAGTCAAATAAACTGCTGTCAGACAATCAATACGGTTTTCGATCCTCTCGTTCTACGGCCGACTTGCTAACTGCTGTAACTGAAAGATTTTATCGTGCATTATATGGAGGCGGTGAGGCTAGTGCTATTGCTCTTGACATATCTAAAGTTTTCGACAAAGTTTGGCATGCTGGTCTTCTCCATAAGCTTGCTTCATATGGTGTTTCTGGGAAAGTTTTTGAGATTATCAAATCATTTCTTTTTAACCGGTTTATTAAAGTCATCCTTGAAGGCCAACACTCTTCTTTATTTCTAGTAACTTCTGACCTTTCATAGAAACCATATATACAATCGATTGCTAAATTAGCTTCTGCTAAGGTTGCTTCTCTTTATCGTGCTCGCCATTTCCTTACTTCTGATTCCATTCTATACCTCTACAAATCTCTTATTCATCCCTGTATGGAATACTGTTGTCATATTTGGGCTGGTTCTTCTAACGATTCACTTTCTCTTTATGACAAGGTCCAAAAACGCATTGTAAATGTTGTTGGACCTGGACTATCTGCTAAGCTTGAACCTCTTTCCCATTGTCGTAAAGTTGCATCTCTTTCTCTTTTCTACAAATACTATCATGGTCACTGCTCAAAGGAGTTATCATCTCTAGTTCCATCAACTAAAATTCATTTTCGTTTTACTCGTCATTCGTTTCATTTTACAAGTCTCATTCGTTTACTGTATCTGTCTCTGCATGCTCTAAAAACTTTTATTCATCTAGTTTTTTTCCCCGCACTTCAATCCTTTGGAACTCTCTCCCATCTTCATGTTTTCCTGACTCATACAACCTTCAACTTTTCAAGTCTTCTGTCAACGGTTTCCTTGCTCTATAACTCTGTTCTTTTTTTTTCCTAGTAACTCCCAACTTGATAGTGGTTGCTTGCAGCCTTGTTGGGAGTGAATGCAAATAAAAAAAATAAAAAAATAAATACGCATGCTGTATTTTCAAGGATTTAGAAGGATCCAAACAAGTGGATGTATTGAACTAAAAATTTGCAAAATAATTAGAAGTAACAAATAATTGCTCCAAAAGAGGAATCAAGCTTAATGGCAAATTCCACAAGTGCGCGCAAAACAAAAAGCAATATTAATTTATTTTACAAGTTGTTAAACAACACAGAAAGCAAAATCCATCTTATTTAAAATCAAAACTAATTAATACTTTATAATTTTTTTTACGTTATTAATATTTTCTTTATTAATAAATAAAAAGTCTTTAGAAAGACTAACACTAAAATTGCCTGATTGAATTTTAATTACATTTTCAACATCTAGACATTTACTAAGTTTACTGAAAACTTAAAAAAGTTTACTAAAAAAAGTTGGTTCATCTGATAAACTTTAATATAAACACCAAGTAACATGACATAAAATTAATTATTTTTAATTTAAAGTTGAAAAAAAAGTGTAAAAAACACTATTTTTTCAAGATAACTCAAGATAATCTGAAGATGTAGACATGTTTTTTGCCCATTATTTTTCCCGTTATGCAAGTAATGTAACCATTTTCAAAAAATTGTCAAGAATGAAACGCCCTAGTGTTCTACTATGTAATACCAACAACTTTTATTATAATTGTTTTATTAGCACAGGTACCATTTTTATTTTGCAAACCAAAATATTGATTTACTATTTAAAGCATGGTTTGACTTGAATTATGAATAGTGTAAAAATATCAACATTTTCTAAGGTATAAACTACTGTCAAAATGCATAAAAAAGCTAAAAAATGGTTAAAAAGATTTTATAGGATTACCTACATAAAAAATAAAAAATATTTCTCTTGAAAAAGAAAAACTGTGAGAAAACCAAATACTTTTTAATTATTGACTTAACAATACTGACTAAATTAATTGACTTAACAATATTGACTAAAATAATTGACTTCTAATTTATATCATTAAGATAACTGATGCCAACTGTACAAGACTTAGATAAAATCAGTGATTCTTAGATACTCTGAGAATCATGCAGAACTACTTTGTGCAGGAAACAAGTGGGGAAAGAAGTTGTACTCCCCCTTTTCTTTGATCTCAAGTCAATACAAGACCTGAAATAAGAGGAACAATCTGTTGTTGCCTAATAAAATAAAATAAAATAAAGAGTAACTAATAAAACCCGCATTTAACAAAAGAGTAACTAATAAAACCCGCATTTAACAAAAGAGTAACTAATAAAACCCGCATTTAACAAAAGAGTAACTAATAAAACCCGCATTTAACAAAAGAGTAACTAATAAAACCCGCATTTAACAAAAGAGTAACTAATAAAACCCGCATTTAACAAAAGAGTAACTAGTATAATTTATTCATTCATTAGAATCATTTAAGTAAGCAGTCAGTAAAAGTCATTCATTTAAATTCACAAAAATTTCATTGAAAAATTTTTTTCAATACAAAAAATTTATAGTTGGAGATTTATTGGTTACTTGAGATTTAATAAAAAAAAAGCTGCATTTAAGAAATGAGCAATTAGGTCGGGTGAATAAAAAAAAAGCAATTGCTTTTACTCAGTAATTGGTAAGTGAATAGAAATTGGTTTTAAGTGAATAGAAATTTCAGCAGTTTTGCACAAATTCTTATTTACATAAAGTTAAGCAATTTACTCAGTAATTGCTCAGCTTTATGTAAATAAAAACTTGAGCAAAATTGCTGAAATTTTTATTTACGTAAAGCTGACCAATTACTGAGTAAAAAACAAGTGAATTTTTTTATTCACCCAATCTATTGCTTCACTTATTATTAGCATATTTCATTCAACCCCACAATTCTCTATTTCTGTTTTTTATTTATAATTTTTTTTCCTTAATGGCAAATTTAATTTTGTAAAAAATTAAATTTGCCATTAAATTTTGTAAAAAGATTCTTAACCAGCGTAAAAAGTTATACCAGAAAACTTTTTAAGTTAAATGATATCAAATTCAATTTCCAAGAGTTTTAAGTTCATTTTTCAAAATAATAAAAAAAATCTTACTACGCATACAAAAACTTTTTACAAATTTGTTTTCATCAAAAATAAATTTGATATCATCTTACTCAGAAAAGTATTCTCTACAATGTGATTTAAAAATATTAGCAAAAAGATTATGTAATAATTAATAAGAACAAAAGCATAAACATTGTCATAACTATTTCATTCTACTCGCTATTTCATTTTACCCTGTTTCGCTCTATATTGAGCTATTTATTAATAAATAGTTTTAAAGAATAAAATAAAAGAACATATGTTAAAATGTTATCAGATGCCATTTGATGGTTATACAATGTAAAAAATAGTTAAAAAAGCTATTTTTCACTGATAGTGAAAAATACCTATTTAGGTAGTGCAAAAAGTTAAATATTTCTGATATCTTCAAGGTAGTAGCTATCTCTTTTAAAATCTATAAGATGCCAGGTATCACTTTTGATAACTTCAAAGTTCCAATTATTTTTTCTGATAATTTCAATGCGATAATTATCTCATATTTATACTTTTAAAGTGGTAGATATCTTTTCTGGTATTTTTTCAAGCACTTTTTATCTTATTAGAAATATGTACCCAAAAATATCTGGGGTTTGTAATCAAATATTCACTACATTAACCTGGAATCCGAAAGATTGGAGCGCCAAAAATGTGAATTTAAAAACCTAATACAGAAAAATGATTTATGTAAAATAGTAGCCTGAAGTTCATTTTGGAACTTCCCAACCACTTAACTATTTTACACAAGCAACACAATATCTTCTAATTTTTTTTTAAGATTAAGAAAAAGACAGAGAGGAAATGTGCGAAGACAATGACAATGAGTTTTTCTCATATTTTCAAAAAGAGTTTTATAAATACCATCACAGAGACGACAAACTAAAGAACCAAAGTTTGCCTAAAGTATATGATGAAATCTAACTGTAAAAATTGTTGTCAAAATTAAAACATTCAATATATGGGCTAGAAAGTAAATAGTAATAATAAAGCAATTAATTTGTTTATGTAACTTTTTCATACCTTCTTTATTCTTAATTAGTATTAAAGATTTGTTTGTGCTATATCATTCATCTTCTTTTTTTCTTTTTGGGTTTCTTTTTCAACCTTTTTATTTTAATTTTTTTTTATCAAATTTTTTTTTATCCTTACCAAAACATTAAAAAAAAAAATTGTAATTGGTAAGGATTAAAACTAATTGCAATTTTTAATGGCATTGTATTGGTTTCCTGCAACGCAATTTTTTCAAAATTTATCAAAAAATATGACACAAATTATCAAAAAAATAATATGAAAATAAATTACCATAATTTCATACTCAGCTCCTTTTGGTTTCCAAGCCTCTTGAATTTGTCGTTGAGTGTGTGCAAAACTTGAAAAAAAAAAATTACCTATAAAATTTAAAATAAAATAAAATTTAATTTTGCGTTTCATAAACTAAGATATATACAATAGCTTTGATCCACCTTAAGGCCCAGATACAGTGTTTCACTGTGAATAATTACTCTAAAGTATAAACCATAATTAAGAAATACTTTATAAAGTGGACATAATTAAGAGAAATGTTATAAAGTATTAAAGTGTCAATTCAAGATATTCAATTGAAGTATAATAGATATTCATATTGAAGTAAAATAAGGATAATTCATTTTAAAAAACATGTATGCTAATATTGTGCTTTTTAACCTTTTTTTTACTATTATGTTTTTATATTTATTTTTACCATTACCTTTAATATTCATTTTTACCCCTTTTTTTTCTTTTTTTAAATTTAACTTTTTATAAAGTGAATGCCTTGTTATCTCTTCTGTCCAAAAATAGAGTTGTTGGAGAAGGGTTGTTTTGAATCTTTCAAAAGCCACTATGTGATCATTAAGAGGTGTATTTGTAATTGAAGGAACAAAATTTAATACCAAACTTAAAAGCTCTCTTTCATTGTCTGTTAGAATGTGTACTGATATCAGGGTTGCCACCGTTATTCAAGAACAAAATTCCCCGATTTTCCCTGATTTTTTTGCTAAAATTTTGCTTTTTTCTCCCTGATTTTCCCTGATTATTTGCGAAAATTTTGCTTTTTTATCTTTGATTGTTCTTGATTTTTTTTCTTATATTTTGCTTATTTGCCCCTGATATTTCCAGTATTCAAACACCCACACTTAACCTTAAAACTTCTCCATTAACCCCAGATTTTTACCTTCAAAAAAACAGATGCTATAATCCCCCAATGAGTAATAAACCAATCAATTTGTTTAAAAATTCAAATAGCTAATTAAATACTTCAATCAACACATGAAATTATTTATAGTAGAATTCCGTTAACTTGAACTCTGAAGGGATATATATATATATATATATATATATATATATATATATATATATATATATATATATATATATATATATATATATATATATATATATATAATATAAAACGGGTTCAACAAGCATTAAAAATCTATCAGACTTATCTAGGGTACAAGATAATGAGATTCAAAAAAAAAGTAACAATTAAGATTGAAAATGTTTTTAATAACAAGCAATGTATTAAAAATTCAAGAGTAAATACAAACAAGTTATAATAACTATTTAAAAAAGACTAACAAAAACAAAATAATTAAACTAAATAAGTAATACTGTTAAATACTGAAATGTTTGAAACAAAGGTTAAACAATTTTATGTTAGAAAAAAGAAATTATATGTAATTGACTTCTTTTTTTTTCTTATATAATATAACTAAAGCCTCCTCAAGCATCTTAATTTCTTTTTCGTGTTCCTCACTTTTTCGCTTACGATCATTGCCTTTTGTAAGTAGAAGTTTCATTTGAGACATATCCTGCTGTTTGCCAGCTTCCTTGGTGAATGTAATAAATTCCTCATTGTATGTTTTACACACTTCGTTCAATACTTTTTGCTTTTCCTTAAGTTCAAATATTTCCTGATCTAAAAGCATTATCACGCTATTTTCTTTTTCTTTTGCTTGGAGTTTTCTATTTTCCTCCAAATAATTTTTATATTGTAACGAGGCACTACGAACAGCCTTAATCATTTCATTGTTTATTTCTATTTCATGAGCCTTTAATTTGTTTGACACCATAAAATCCTTGATAGTGCGACGAGATATAAGTGACTTTTCTTTCATATTTTCACTGAGCATATTACTGTTAATACTGAAACCTCTCTCAATTGATGCTTGCCCATGACATAACGTAAAAATTTATATCAAAACTTTTGACAAAGTCTTGTAATCTACACCAACTTTAATGGTTTCAAAATAAAATTTGTCTAAACGATTTCCAGAGTGAAAATTTTTAAATGCGGGTAAAAGAGTAGATGAACTTTCCTCTAACAACTTTGAAAATTGTATGAAAGCTTGATCACATTCATTTGAAGTAATATGTGAACAAGAAAGAATAAGATGTAGTACAGATTTCATCTGATGAAGAAGATCAGCTTTTTTTTTAGAAAGAATTGACACTGGACTATTTTAACGAAATTAGTGCATACTAATTTCGTTAAAATAGTTCATATCTGGATTAGATTCATCGTCTAAGTTAAAATAGATACTTTACTAAAAACTAAAAAATACTAAAAAATTAAAAAGTTTTTTCAAAGTTATTGTTATTAGATTTAGTCATTTTCGTAGTCAATTATTTTGAGAAACATAAATAATAAGTAGTATATTCTTTTATTTATATTTCTAAACGATGACATTTTCGTTCCCATTCCAAATTTTCAAGAAGATTAAGAAGGGACCAATTCACATTTGGATCATCCATACTTAGTTGAGTCAGATTTATGCTATTAATCATTGACAAAGATGTAGTAATACTTTCAAGCAAATTTTTTGCTGTGGGGTGACCTAAAAATTTAGAGTCAACGTATCTGGATTCAACATGATTTAGATCGCTGTTCCAAAACTGAATATTTAGATCCATTTGACAATTTTGGAAAGAATCGTTAAGGCTTTCATCAAATGAAACAGTATAATAAGGAGATTTTTTTATATTTTCAGTTAAAAGTCTGTGAAAATAAGGTCCAAGACCAAAATTAATTATATAACCAAGTTTTGTTCTACCCATTTCATAAGATTTACCAGTATTGCTGTCAGGGAACATTTTCTGATAAAGTAGGCCATTTTCATTACATGAGTTCAATGAGAAATTATTCTGTACTGCATTTAAAACAGAATAGATTTCTGCACAACATTTATCATATTGATCTACTGTAAGAATTGCTTGCTTTTTAGATGTAGACGGTGCAGGCATGAAGAAGCAAGATACTGGCTTTGCCTTCTGTGCATGTTTTTTGCCATCCATGTGACTTATCACAGCTCTTCTCCCCATATTTGACAAATTAAACTCAACTTGGCATATTTTGCACTTGGCTGACTTTTTATCGCTGCCTATTACCAGCCATTTTTCAAACAAAGGATCACTTAACCATTCTTCTTTGAAATATGTTGTCATTTTAAATTTTAAAAATTTGTACTATTCTAAAAAAAGAGCAAATGAATACACAATGTGATTAATTTTCTTTAAAAATATTTAACATTAACCCTGGTACCCTGGGAAAGGAAAATTTTTATTAGAAATTATTTCAAAACATTAAAGAAAAATTAAAAAGTTCCCTGATTTTCCCTGATTTTTTCCTAAATCAATCATTTCTCCCTGATTTTCCCTGATTGTATTTAAATTTCCCTGAATTTCCCTGATTTCCCTGATTTGGTGGCAACCCTGTGATATGTTAATTTATTATTGAATTGATGTAAGAAATTTGATTTAGCTTGAATGATTTCTTTTTAATACTGCCTCATGTTGCTATGTGGTGTTGACAAAAACAATTTAAACAATTTAGTAAATGGTATAAAGTTTCTTTGTTCGTTAGATGGAGTAAACAGTTTTCAGTGTTGATCCTAGAGAAAAATATTTTATCAAAGATGCCCATTTTGATTAGCACTAATAACTAGTTTATTCTGTCAGTTTTTACTGCAGTATGGAATTGGCATAAAGCAAAGTCGTTCCCACTTGTGCTTTATGCCAATTCCATACTGCAGTAAAAAGGACTTACTACAAATAGCCAAAACTCAACCATACCCAAATTTGTAAAGTAACAATATTTTTTTGATGAAATGATATATATGTGTATATTTACTATATGATTTAATATATATATATATATATATATATATATATATATATATAATATATATATATATATATACACATACATACATACATACATACATACATACATATATACATACATATATATACATATATATATATATATATATATATATATATATATATATATATATATATATATATATATATATATATATATATATATATATATATATATGTATATATATATATATGTATATATATATATATGTATATATATATATATATGTATATATATATATATATATATATATATATATATATATATATATGTATGTATGTATGTATATATATATATATATGTATATATATATATATATATATATATATATATATATATATATATATATATATATATATATATATATATATATATATATATATATATATATGTATGTATATCAATTTGGGTCAGGTGATTCTGTTACTGGTAACATATACACTAGTACAACCTGCTTCAAGTCCTGCTTTTTAAGGCAAAGGCTAGGAGAAGCCAACTTCATAAAAATACTCATCTTGAGCAGATATTAAGCATCCAGCTACTGTATTGTGAAAAACTTCCTAGACAAAGACTTAAGGGGTAAACAGATTCTATCTGTAGAACAGTCTCGCACCTCTTCTTTATCTATGAGGCTGGCACAGACATATTTATAACACATTGTTTTCCATTTTAGGATGTTGAATGCTAGATTTTCTTGACTTGATGCATGGGTTTTGCTTGTGTTTCTGTTTTTATGACTAGGCAACTTATTCTATTATCACCGAATTAGGGTACAATTCTAAAACTTAGTTTAATGGTTCTGAGGCTGGCTGGTAGTCAGGTTTCCCGAACTGTGGTAGCTCTTAGGCTGATCCCATCAACAGCTGTTAAATATCAGAGTACTAACAGTGCCATGTTGCGCATGGATGGTGTCTTTGTTCATACTTTTGGTGTGCATTGTCGAGAACACATTTAGAGCCCTTTGTTACGACTTTGGTTTATTAATAGCAATGAGGCAATTGTTTGGAATATTAAATAGTGTACTAAGAACTATCTGTGCCTTGAGTCAAGTTCATTAACAAATTTAAAAATGACTAAAGTACCAAAAACTAAAAAACACAAAAAACCATCGCCATCACCAAGTTCTCTAATCATTAATATTTGTGGTCAATTTAACCATTCTGATTAAATAAACCCACTCTCTTTATCCATCAGCCAATATCGTTGCTGTGACTTTGATGCTCATCAGCCTAAATGGCTTGGCTCTAGTATCAGTGATTCTGCAGGTGTTAAGGTCCACAACTTTTGCCCTTCTCAATCTCCAACTTAAATAATCAACTTTCCAACTTGTTTTCCAGACAACTGGAATCATTTACCTTCTCTACTTGACTTATATCTTGTTTCTGATCCTAGTCAGTGTTCATTTTCTCCACATTTACCCTTAGGTGCCCCCTATCATCGCATCTCTTTAAACTACCTTAAAGCTGACTGTTATCGCAATAATTTAGATATTCCTACATTCATGAATGGTAATGTACTCCATGAGTCATCTACCCTTCATCTTCTAGGATTAACTCTTATTTCTGATCTTTCTTGGAAACCATATATCAAACCCATTGCAAAATTAGCATCTGCTAAGATTGCATCTCTTTATCATGCTTGACTTTTACTCCGGATTCTATTCTTTATCTCTATAAACCTTAAATCTGTCCTTGTATGGAATACTGTTGCTATATCTGAGGCGGATCTTTCAATGATGCTTTTTCTTTTTTAGACAAAGTGCAAAAATGCGTTGTAAACATAGTTGGACTTGCTCTCGCAGCCAACCTCCAACCAATATCACATCATGCTAATGTTGCTTCTTTATCTCTTTTCTACAAATACTATAATGGCACTGCTCTAAATAGCTGGCATCTCTTGTATCATCTAAAAAAATTCATTCTCATATTACTCATCATTCAATTAAAGGGATCCCAAACTCCCAACACATGTTGTGTTCATATTAAAAATAATGAAAAAAAAAAGGTTTGAACCAAATTTTTTTTGATTAAAAATAAATAATGAATGCATACCGTGAAAAACAAATGTTGTTGTTTTTGCCAAAGCTCATCTTCTCCATTTTTTTCAACCACTCGGAGTCTTCAAATTATGCGTCGTAATCTACAGACTTTGGCAATTCTTTTGAAGCGCATTTAATTCATAAAAGTTTTAGTATTTGACGTCACGGTAGACTTTTAACAAAAGAAAAGTGTAATTAAACTAAGCTGCGTTTTTCTACTGTAGTATTTTTTTAACATACAGCAAAACAAATTTATTTGTATTATTTTTATTTTATAGGAGCAACTTGTTTTTTACAGATATCTTAATAATTTTTCGATTTATTTATCTTACTTATATTTCTTTTGTTTTTAAATTAAAACAAATATTAAAGCTTTACTTACCAATCTTATGATTTTCTTACGAGTATTTTACATTATATAGAATATTATATATACGGTCTCTCATTTTTGTGCAAGAGAGCGCAGTATTATATATTCTAAATCTTACATTAAACAATCAAAACTTTTTCCTATCGTCTCTGGTCATTTTTACGCTATGAAGTTTTTAGTTTTTCCGTCGAAAAAAAGTAATTACAAGCAATTGCTTTCATTTCATTAGAGATATTTGATGAACTGTTAAATTTTTTTATTATAAAAATTTTTTGATTACGCTGATTAAATTTAAATTGCTGAACTTGCTAAATTAAGTATGGATAAAAAAAATCATTTCATTTTGCATTTGATTTTTGATAACAAAACTTTTGAAATGTCGGCAACTTCATACATAATTTTGTTTTTACTCTAACATATTTTACATACTATAGGAACAAATACGTTCCTAGGGCCTTTTCTGATCTTAGAATAAATTAACACAATATCGCATAATTTTAGGGGGTTTTTGTTTATTGCTAAGTCGTTCTAAATAATAAGTAAATATAGTTAAAGTTAATATTTTAATAATTACAGTTGCAATATAACAATAAAAAGATGTTTAATGTTGAACTTTTTATTTAGTTATTTATTTTTTACCTACTTTTGTTATAAAAAGACTTTAGTACCCCCGTCATTTAAATAATTTGTTTTAAATATATATTTCGACGTGATTATTCAAACTAATTTTTAATTCCCCAAGCAAATTGAGACAAAATATTATCTAACCAAATAAAAATGTTGTAACTAATTTTATACGGGTAATTAATGTAAAACATTTATTTATCAGAGTCTTATAATTGAAATAATAATTTTATACGGGTAATTAATGTAAAACATTTTTTTATCAGAGTCTTGATTGAGATAATAAATATTCATAATTTATAAACATTAAATATATGGTGCAATAACAATTTATAGCAACGAACCAGCATAAAACATTTGAGGTTTTTAATATCTTTTTAAATGTTAAAAATAGAAACAAAAAAAACTAAACAAATAATCAAAAAAAGTTCGACTAAAAATAAATAAAAAAATATTTCTAGAGTTTCTTTTGTTAAAAGTCTACTGTGACGTCAAATACTAAAACTTTTATGAATTAAATGCGCTTCAAAAGAATTGCCAAAGTCTGTAGATTGCGACGCATAATTTGAAGACTCCGAGTGGTTGAAAAAAATGGAGAAGATGAGCTTTGGCAAAAACAAAAACATTTGTTTTTCACGGTATGCATTCATTATTTATTTTTAATCAAAAAAAATTTGGCTCAAACCATTTTTTTTAACATTATCTTTAATATGAACACAACATGTGTTGGGAGTTTGGGATCCCTTTAAGTCTCATCAATTTATTGTGACTGTTCCCAAGTGCTCCAAAAACTCTTATTCATCTAGTTTTTTTTCCTCGAACATCAGTTCTTAGGAATTCGCTTCCTTAATTTTGCTTTCTTGATCCATGTAAATTGCAATCTTTTGAGTCGTCTGTCAATGGTTATCTTGCTCTACAAACTTTATATTTTCTCTTCCAATAACTTCCAACTCTAATAGTGGTTGCTTGCAGCCTTGTTGAAAGCGAAGATGTTGAAAAATAATATATATATATATATATATATATATATAATATATATATATATATATATATATATATATATACATGTATATATAAGCAAATAAATGTAACCAAATCAATTAAAAAAAAAACGTACAAAAAAATAATATTTCTAACTACTTGTCATGCTAGTGGTGTAAAAAACACAATAAATCAGAATTCCAACAAAAACACTTGTACTTATTTTTGCAAATTTAGGTTGACACTATTTTAATATATTTTGCACACTTTACAAAAATCCAGACAGTTTTTTCAAAAAAAAAAAAAAAAAAAAAAAGAAAAAAAGAATCTATTATGTCTGGATAATACTGCTCAATTTCAATTAATATATGCACTGAAGCCCCCTCAGACAGCTATTTTAATATGACATCATCAATAATGTTTCGTGCAGGGATAAGTGAGCAAAAATATTTTCTACATTTTTGCTTAATTAGTCTTTTTTTCCTAATACTTATATATAAAAAAAATATATAGTAAAAGCAATTCATAATAGACATAAACTCACAACTTTATATTTATTGTAAAAACAATAAGAGGTACAATCCTAGTCAGCTCAATTGCTAATCCAACAAAAGACATAAGTGTTATATAGTTAAGGAAAAAACCAGCTTGACTGGGTAATGATTTAGCAAGATAACTTGGAAGTTGTAAAGGAGAATTGATAATTTTCTGGAAATCTTGAAGAACTGAACCCGATACAATGTATATGAAAAATGTGTTAAATGTCTAAAAATTGAAATATAATTAAAAATAAAATTACTATTTAAAAAAAAAAAAAAATTTAAATAATAAAATTTAAATTTTTAATATAATGAAAAAATGAATAAAAAGATAACATAAATATAGACCTGAAATACAAAGAGAAACTTAAAAGTTATAAGAGCAATTTCACTTTTGCTAATATGACCTTGAAATTTTCCAACTGCTCTCAAAATCTGCAAACAAATACAAAATTGCTTAATTAAAAATAGTGCATAATTAAAAAAAAATGTTCAAAGAAGTAATAATAAAAGTAAATTACATATAGTAATATAAAATAAAATAACTTACATAAGGTAATATAATGTAAAATATAGCAATAAGTAGAACAGGGATAACTCCTTGAATAAAATTCATAACCAAAGTTGAAGTTCCAGCTTGCCCTATAATTTAATTTTTTTTTATTAAAATTTTTTAATCACATACAAATATTAAAACAAAAAATAATTCTCATAAATGCTGCCATTATGCTCTATCTCTCAAACTTGAGCCACTGTCCCATCATTGTAGGATTGAACAGCTGTCCTATCATTGTAAGGTTGAACCACTGTCCTATCACTGAAAGGTTGAACCACTGTCCGATCATTGTAAGGTTGAACAACTGTCCCATCATTGTAAGGCTACATCTCTTTCTCTTTTCTTCCTATGCTATCATAGTTGCTATGCTATCATAGTTGCTATGCTATCATAGTTGCTATGCTATCATAGTTGCTATGCTATCATAGTTGCAGCTCAAACAAGCTATAATCTCTAGTTTCATTAACCAAAATTCATTATAGCTCAACTCATCGTTTTGCACATCAATGCTTTGGAACTCTCTTGCCTCTTACAACCTACCTCTATCTCCTATCGCCTCTTACAACCTACAACATTTCAAGTCTTCTGTCAACCATTTCCTTGCTCTTTAACAATATTCTTTGTGTTCTCATAACTACCAACTTAATAGTGGTTGTTTGCAGCTTTTTTGGGAGTGAATTTATTTACTTTTTTCATTTAGTTAATATTATTACTTATTTAATTAAGTAAAATGCACTGATTAAATAATTAAGTTACAATAACGCTAAAAGTGAAATATATTACTAAATATATTTAGAAGCATTTACAGTAACTTACTTTAGACAGTTGCCAGAACAATATGACATGATATTTGTCTTTTGATAAATTGTAAAAAATTTTAAATTAGTAAACTCATTCATTGATTCTGGTATAATTTAATGAACATTTGAATTTTTTGTGAAATCTGATTATAATTATAAAATAATATATCAATATTATAAAATAAATAAATTATCAAAAATTATCTAAAAAATTATTTAATATATAATAACTTTGTTTAAATTTTTTTAATACAAAAACTTTTGTAAATATTTTAACTAGGAAAAAAATTTTATACGAACAAAAAAACATTAACAAAATAAAAACATAACTTTATCTTATTTTTATATCAACTTTAATTAATTTTAAATTTAAAAAAATATATCATATTTTTATAATAAAATATAAACATAAAGTCTATAATAACTTACATTCATCTAACCATTTTAATTCTGAAGCAATGGAACTCAATTTGGTTAGAGATGAAATAAACAAAATAGGTGTTGTCCAAAATATTACAAGCATAAAAATAAATATATAGCCAACAATATTTCTTAAACTCCTAAAATTAAAAATATTTTCAACCTAAAATTACAATAAAAAATAATACAATTCGTCAACAAAATTTTAACTATCTTGAATATAACATTAAAATTATTGAAGTATAAAATGTTAAGTAAAAAAATAAACATAGCACAACAAAAAAAATTGTAACAAATGTAATAGCTAGAAAAACATAATAACTAATAAAAAGTAAAATTACTTTTGCCAAAAAGGAATAGCTAAATTTCCCCATAAAATCTCTTTTGGTTCAGGAGCAGGTGTAACATGATAATGAAATGGACTTGAATCCCATACACTTTTAAGTGAACTAGCTTGCCCTTTTAACGATTTGAAGAAAATAAATGCACATGGCAATGTTTGATGTTTTGAAGAAAACTGTTCATCTGCTAACTGATTTTGAATCTCCTATAAAATACTCTAAATTTTAACTTTAGAAATAAAGATTTTTAAATCATTTCAAAATTTCAGATTAATCATATATAAATAACATCTAGTAATTAAGATTAAATGTTTGTAAAATACTAACAGTTCAACTCTCCAATACTGACCACGGAAATTATATTTAGTTGCGAAAAACTGGCCAGGTTTTTTAATTGTTTTGAGAACATTTAAATTTATGTACGAAACAAAAAATTTTTGTTTTACGGACATACATGGAAACATAAAAAACTTGAATGTTCTCAAAACATCTTGGTGCGATTATTCTTTTAAGAATTATTGTTTTAAGAATATATATATTATTTGATTACAAAAATAAATGTTTTAAATATATATTAACTAAATTGTCAAAATTTTAAAAATTTATTATAAATTATAGATTTTATTAGTATATTCTTATTTATTATTTAAAAAGTATGGATTCTTTATGTAAATGTAATTTTGTGTATCTGTTTTTTATCGTAATACATCTTTTAAAGCAATTTTTATTATTTAAAAAAAGACTTCCAAAAATAATTGCGTTTTCAATGAAGTTATAATCGTTAAAGTTAACAAAACTAGTTATGTAACAAACATATAAGAAGTTTCTGGTTATTAAACTCAAACAACGCGTACAAAGTAACTCGCGGATAAACAAGCACCGCGCCTGAAGTCACGACAGAACACAAATATATATAGCAAATAATTAGATATAAAGAAAAGTTACTAGATATTGGTTTACTAACTCTAATTATTTTCGCTTAAGTTGCCATTCTTAAAACTCGTTATACTTTTTTCTGCTTTAAACACCAATTAAAATTAAAAAGCCCACTCACTAAACATCATCAGCAATATTGTGAAGCAGTTTCGCTTCCTCCTCATAAAGTATTTTTAACCTTTTTAGTTGATTTCTATCTTTTTAATTTAATTTCAATAGTAATTCAATGATTTAATTCTTTCATTTGTTTATCTTACTAAGAAGAATGTTTATCTTACTAAGAAGAATTGCTTCAAATATGTTAAACTTTTCAAACTACGCGAAACATAAAATAGGTATTTAAAAAATTAACTTTTTTATTTATAAAATAATTTAGCTTAAATAACACTAAAACTTGCAAACTTTGTTAAATAAAGAATATTTGTTTCCTTTTTAAATGATCGTAAGATGTTACTTTATATAAAAAACATCACTTAATTTTATAAAAAAAATCATTTTTTCTAAACGTAGTTTTTTGCGTTTAAAGATATTTTATTTGCCTAATTTTTTTTTTTTTGTAATTGTCTCTCATTGGTCCAATTAATTTTTTGCGCTTTTTTTTTTGCTTTTCAAAATGTTCTCAAAACAACTAAAAAATCTGGCCAGCTTTTCGTAACTAAATATTATTTACGTGGTCAGCAATCGAGAGCGATCGCTCCCGCTTCCCGACCAAGCCTGACTATTTGACTAATCAAGCAGTTCAATTATTTGATTAGTCAAACATAAAAAGATACCTACAAGATTAAACTTTATATATCAAAATATACAGTTATAAAAAATATATAAATAAATATGTACAAATATATTATATATAAAGATTAAAATTTGAAAACCTGAAGCTCAAATTCATATTCGGAAATTGCATCTCTTTCTTTTGCACAAGGATATTTCTTTAAAGTCATTCTTTTGTTATTTTTTTCCAAATAAAGCTTAAAATTTATTACATAAAGTTATAAATTCTATATATATATATATATATATATATATATATATATATATATATATATATATATATATATATATATATATATATATATATATACACACACATAAGTATTTTTATTTTTTTAAAAATTTCTTATACTATTAATTTTGCAAATTTATACAAAAAAAAGTAAACTAACAAAAACAAATCAAAAGTTGATAAAGGTGTTAAAATAAAATCACTGAAAATACTTTTTTTTTAATCAATGAAACATTTAAAATTAAAACAACTATAATTAAACTGCATCATATTGTTACAAGACTATCAATACACTAAAATGACTGTTAACTGTTATAAAGGTAATTAAATGAAGCAAAACTGCAACTAATATAATTATAAGAGATAATACAGGTAAAATTATGTTTAAAAGTAGCAGTAACTACAGTTCTGTAGTAGCATCAACAGTTGTGTAGCATACTTTACTTAAACTTTGATAAAAGAGGATACAATAATAAAAAAGAGAAAGACAAAATTAGACCAAAATATTATTGTCTTAAAAATGATGAGAACTATAATTTAGAAACACAGCAAATTCAAAATGTTACCTTGGCAACTTCCCACTTTATAACATAAGAATCATGCTTTTCAATAAGCTTACTCCATACATTCAAGTCTTTAACCATATAGACGCTCTCAACCTGAAAAATTTAAATAGCTGAATAGCTGCATGATAAAGGGAAACTCTAAATTGACATTTTAGAAAATTAAAGCTAAATCCTTTTAACAAAAACCAAATTATGACTTTAAGTTATTTAAGACTCATGAGACATAAGTTATCATTGAACTTTTCAAAAATGCATTTTTTTTTTTTTTTTTTTTTTTTTTGGTGCAACATGTTTTATTATAAAATGGCATTCTTAATTAAATTTAAACAAATATGTAACTTACACTCTTTTAAACTAAATTCAATTAAAATTTTATACTTTTTAACTCTTCAAAATTCAACTCACATGTTTTGGAAACAGTTTGTCTACAAAAGTCTTTAGATCGTCATTGCTACGAATCTAGATTAAAAATTGTTTAAAAGCATGGTAACTAGTTAATATTATTTGAAATATAAAAGATTTTTAAAATCTAAATTCATACTTTTTCTGGTATGTTCTGTACCAGTACAGTGAACTGTTTGCTAATACCTTTCTTTAAGTAATTCTGTCTGAAAGTGGTATATACTTTCCATTCAAGAAAAGTTAAATAAAGTACCACAAATGAGTATACCCAAACAGCTATCCAATGAAACCACAGCAAGGAAGATCCACTTTGAACATTTGACATACTTAGCTTATCTAACCCATCTGTCAACTGATTGCCACCATAAACATTCAAAGGTAACAAAACTATCATTCCAAAAGGCAATGTAATCAGAGCAAACTTCAAAACTAACCTCATAAATCTCAAGAACACAAGTGCATCTAAACCAGAAAAAGCATAGATATCTTGATCAGTAGCTTTAAATGATGGTCCTATCCATGAGAAGATAGATTGTGAAGTGGAACCAGGAACAGATTTTCGTTCAATTAAAAGCAAACGAGGCGAGTAGATTTGACGTAGCTTTAATCTAATGCAGGAAAAAAAACTCAAAGCCAAAATAAATATAATGCCACATAATGCAATCACAACATTAAATGTCTGTGCAGGACTGTTTAGATCAACTCCTGCCACAACAGGTCTTGATTTGTTCACATTATTTATCCCTGACATTTTATATATCTAAGTCTTTTATTTCTTTATATTACATCTAAAATAAAAAAAATATATAAACATTTTTCAATTAGCCTTCAATAAAATAATGATCAAGTTATTTTGTTATTTACTATATTGTCACACCCTCAAAATTATCATTATATTTTCTAATTTTAATTTCTAAATTAACAGGAAAAAATGAAAAAAAACTTTTCTCATGTAGAAATCACTCATATGAGTTATCTACAACTGAAAATTAAAGCATGGTAATAACTCTGCTCATTTATTAAAATTCACACTTAGTTATAACATATTTAAACATTAAGAATAGATAAAAGATGCTGTTGAATGATGAGTCAAACTAGATTGAGCTTTGATAGATAGAACAAGAGATTATAGCTAGTTTCAGCACAACCATAGTAGTATTAGTTTCAGCACAACCATAGTAGTATTAGTTTCAGCACAACCATAGTAGTATTAGTTTCAGCACAACCATAGTAGTATTAGTTTCAGCACAACCATAGTAGTATTAGTAGAAAAGAGATGCAACTCAAGACATGTAAGAAATTAAAATTTAAATATAGTTTTTTAAAAACCTTTCTGAACTTAACATTGCTTAAGTTCAAAAGTAAACTCGTGAATGCAAGCAAATATACTATGTCTATCTTATTATTATTATTATTATTTCCTTTATTAATAGATACAATGTCTAGGAATTTACGAAAATTAACAAAAGTTTGTAAAAGATTACTTTAACTATTCAGATTTTGGGTGTAAGAGTTGTAGCTTACACAAATTCCTTAGATTGTGCATAACAAGAGTTATAAATATTCTAAGCAATTGTTATAATGTTTTATAAATGTAATAACTATAAATGCATTATAAAATTAAATTTCAAAATTTTTACTTTTGGCTATGTGTGCAATAAAGAAATGAGAGTACAATGGGGAAGTGAGACATTCCATGCTTAATTGATTTTGGAGGTGGGTATCCATTGTAATGAGATAAAAGAGAGCTTTTAACTTTAGCTCTATTTTTTATGAAAGGTTATTAGGCTAAGTAAGCAACCAGGGTCAGGGCCAGGCTTGATAGACCATAGCTGGAGCATGTTCCAGGGCCGAGGTTATGGCCGAAATTAATTAACTACTTGATTAATTAGATGGGTCAGAATGTTCACCGGAGTTTTTGTAAATTAGAACAACAGATGCCATTTTATACATATATATATATATATATATATATATATATAAATATATATATATAAAAAAAATATATATATATATATATATAAAAATATATATATATGTATATATATATGTATATATATATATATATATATATATATATATATATATATATATATATATATATATATATCAGGCTTTCCCAGGAAAGGCGTGCGGTCACACGCCTTGTTTGTCCACGCATAGAATAAATTTTTCAGAAAACGTGACCGCGGCAATATTTCGTGGGAAAGCGGAACTTATCCACAGAGAATAAAATATAATATTAAAAAAAGGAAACGAAGTCTAAACAAAGTATAAAATTGAAATTGGATGTAAGAAAAATATTTTAATAATAAAAAAAAAACTAAAAAAAAAAAAAAAATCTTGTAACAAAAAAAAAAAAAGTACTGAACATTTTTTTCAAAATTTTTTTACTGTTTTTGTTTTCTTTTTTTAAGGGCTGCTATTTTCAGCTACAAAATTTGATACAAGTCAAGGAAAAGGCGACAATAAATCATAAAGTTTTCACGAAAAAAAAAAGACTTGATATGTAATTTATTCACTAACTTTATCAGATAATATATTAAAAAACTGATTCATTTACGCTAGACAAATTTGATTAAATTTTTTTATTTAATTTAGTTTTTACGAAGGTTTATGCAAAGGCGATGACGTTATTCCCCAATACTTAGACAAGAAAATAAATTGCTGTTTTAATTATTAAATATATTAATTGAGATTTTAAAGATAACAAAATTTTATTTGAAATTTGAAAAAAACTTATTTTACAAATTAATAGCAATCGTTTTCGCGCTTTCTTGCGTATCAATACATTTAAACATTTAAATGTATTTACGAAACATATAAAAATTAATTAAAATTCTATCATGAATTTTAAAGTATTACTGACTGATAAAAGTCATAAACAAATTTTACATTAAAAGGTCCTTTTATTTTCATTAAACAATAATCTTTTTCTTTTTGATTTGATTTTTCTTATTGATTTTATTTTTTTATTGATTTGATTTTTCATAGCTAAAATAACTACCGCCCTAAAAAACAAAACAAAAAAAAATAAATAAAATATAGGTAAATTTTTTTTTAATAATATACATTAATTTTTAAATTTGAAAGCACAAACAGATTTCTTTTATTCACTTTAAGATTGCTTGCATTTTTGCGGTATTTTGGTTTAGCTTTGTTTTGGCGCGAATTCTTGAAACGCATAATAATAAAACGTGGTCAGTTCATAATAATAATAAAACGGTCAGAAAAATTTATTCTATGCGTGGACAAACAAGGCGTGCGATCGCACGCCTTTCCTGGGAAAGCCTGATATATATATATATATATATATATATATATATATATATATTCATCTGTTGTTCTAACTTACATAAACTCCGGTGAACATTCTGACCCCTCCAATTATCATTCAATCAACCTTTTTTCATATAATATAAAATATATATGTATATGCTGTGACTGAAAGATATTATCATGCATTAGAAACTAATAAAAAATAAGGTCGAGAGGCTAGTGCTATTGCTCTTGATATATCTAAGGCTTTTGACAAAGTTTGGCATGCTGGTCTTCTCTATAAGCTCTGGTCTTCTCCATAAGCTTGTTTCATATGGTGTATGTGGGAAAGTTTTTGAGATTATCAAATTGCTTCTTTCTAATTGCTTTATTAAAGTCATCCTTGAAGGCCAACACTTTTCTTCATTTCCAGTAACTTTTGGGGTACCTCAAGGTTCTATCCTTGATCCTGTTTTGTTTCTTATTTACATTAATGATTTTCCCGACAACCTTACATCTAAAGTAGCTCTTTTTGCTGATGACTCAACTTTATACTCCTGTTTGACAAAAAGTTTTCTATTTTTGATCGCTTAGAACAGGCAGCCGATTTTGAATGTGACCTCATTTCTATAACAGATTGGGGCTCAATTATTTACTGCAAACAACTATTATAGTACTCTCCACATTATATTAATAAATGGCAACCCTCTCAATGAGTCTTCTTTACGCCTTGTTGGATTATTGTTTACTACTGACCTTTCATGGAAACCGTATACTTAATTCATTGGATAACCAGACAGTTAGCTACTTATAAGAGTGTGTTTATTAATAAAACTGTATTTTAATTGAAGTAGAAAAGCATTTAGAAAAATAGAGTGGATATTCAAATAATATTAAAAAATTATTAAGGAACTTAAACAACTCCATAAAACCATACCGTACAAAAAGTTTAGCATTATGAAAATACTAATGGTCCGTAAAAATCAGTGTTAATGTTAAAATCAACTAATAAAAACTTTTGATTGGTTGACTTTAAAATTAAAGCACGTCTTTTTGGACTATTAGTAACGTTTTTCATAATGCCAAACTTTTTATAAAATATGTTTTTATAAAGTTGTTTAAGTATTTGTAAAAGTTTATAAAGTTTTTAATAATATTTGAATATCCACTTTATATTTTCTAAATGCTTATCTACTTTTATTATAGTTTGAAATTACTAATGTTGTTTGAACAAAGAATGAACTTAAAAAGGTATAAGTGCTTTATAAAAGTAATAACACTATTATAGTTTTATTACTTTTATAATGCAGTTAGTGACATGAGTGTTGTTACTTTTGCAGTCGTAAGTTTTTTGTTTTGTTTGTTATAGCTTTATCCCTAACAAACTTATAATAATTTTCTCCTTAAAAACAAAGTACACAGCTTTGCATAAACTAAAATATTAAAAATATCATTAGTTTCACCCAAGAAAAAATTACAAAAAAAAACTTTTATACCGGACTACTGATTATCATAGTGAACAACTCAAATAAGAAATAAAAACTGTTTCAGTTGCACGCAGGGCAACTGAGAAAAAACCAGAGGGTACACCACTATATATATATATATATATATATATATATATATATATATATATATATATATATATATATATATATATATATATATATATATATATATATATATATATATATATATATATATATATATATATATATATCAGAGGCTATTCTAGGAAAATAATTTGGGCAGCGGTATCCCCGTGCCAGTGCCATAAAGAAATTTCCATTTGGAAATTTTGCAGAAACACTGCCATACCAGCCTTTCACAGAAAGATGTGCGATTTCACGTCTTTATATGACCACGCAAAAAATAATGTTTTAACGATTTGACCACGGCATATTTTCAAAATTTAAAAACACACTACAAAAACTTACCTAAACTTATCTGAAAAAAAAATTGTAAAGAAAAGAAAATTTTAACGAAAGAGAAAATAAAAAAAATACTTAGTTAAGGGGGTTGCCCAAGAAATATACTTTTTTTTGATCCTATGAATTTAACTAATCAAATTTTGGTATATATGGCTGGTCTCAACTTAAGAAATATTTCAAACACGCCAAACTATTTTTTTTGCTTCGATTACCCTAATTTATTGCTAAAATGAGACAAAAAAATACAATATTTCAAAACACATTGTATGCAGATATGAAGATAGTTACTACTTTAAATTTTCAACATATCTTAAGGAAGATAGTAAAATCCATTTAACATATCAATTCTTTAATTAACTCACTCAGTCAAAAGTTATGCCTCTTTTAGTAAAAAGAGTGTTTAAAACATAGCAATATTTGTATAAATTTTACAAATTAAAATATTTATTTACCTCAATAAAGAAAAAACCTATGATGTATGGATTATCAGGCTTGGACAGGAATAGCGTGCGATCGAGGGCTATTGCTGACCACGCAAATGATTTTATTTTTTAACAACTTGACCACGATTGTTTAATAAACAATGTTTATATATTTTG